AATTTGAGTGTGTGTGTGTGTGTTTGTGTGATTTTTTTATATATACACCCCACACACACATACACACAATTTAATTCTATTTAAATTTAACAATCAATCTAGGTCCAGGTAAGACTTAATTTGGGTCCAGATCCAGACCACTGCAGTGAGTCCCCCTACTTTAAATACAACTTTGACTTTAATAAACAGGTTGGTGCTTATTTAAAAGTAACAGAAACTTCACCTTCAGGAGTTTTCTCCAGGTTTCTGATGTCAAAGTTCTCCAAAGTCTAAAGCAAAAAGGGGAAAAAATAATTCAAAATGCATACAAAGGCTTAAAAATTTTATAAATAGCTTTATTTTTTTTACATAATTCATTGTATTTAAGTCTGAGTACTAGTTTCTTGCTTGCAATGTCTGCCCGTTTTTTGTCTATCTTCTCCTTGAGCGTGCTCAGTACAGGCTCGACTGCGCCAGGAGAGCTCAGAACAATCTTGCTTATTACTTCCTCTGGCACATAAAAGTCCAGCCTTGGAAACACCTTCCTGTGCACACAGAAAAAATAACAACATGTGTTTTCAATGAAACAAAACAAGTGGAAAGCAGATTGCATGTGATTTACTGATGAGTCCACAGGGACATCTATATGTATATATATGCAGGCCATTAAATCATATCAGTGACCAGGGAGAGCCTCAGTGGGTGTCTGTTCAAAATCTTCTCATGACCAGATAAAGAGAAAAGCTTTGAGGTGAAAACATGAAAAAGTGTCTTTATGTTTCAATGAATGCTGGATGTTTAGAGTCACACTGTTAGATCTGCATCTTTTTAGCTTCTATAAAAACTTCTAGGATTTTTTTTAAATCACGGAATTGTTCAAAATGATTGACAACATCATTTAGAACATCTTAATCTATTATCTTCTGCTTGTTCTGGAGTGAGGTCACCAGGGCAGCAGCTTGAGCGGGAGGCCCAGACATCCCACAGCCGCCTCTTCTGGGAGGACTCCAAGATGTTTCGCAGGCCAGCCAAGAGACATAGTGTCTCCATTATGTCCTGGGTCTTTCTTGGGGTCTCCTTTTATTTGGATAGGTCTGGAAAACCTTTCTAGGGAGATGCACAGGGGACATCCTTACCACATGCCTGAACCACCTCAACTGGCTCGTGTCGATGTGGAGGAGCAGCAGCTCTACTCCGAGTCTCTCCTGGATAACTAAACTTCTCACCCTATCTTTAAGGATGAGCCCAGTTGCCTTGTGGAGAAAACTTATTTTGATCAATCTTGTTATTTCAGTCACTACTTACATAGCTTTCAAATCTGCGGCCATCACCCCCATCATCAAGAAACCAGGTCTTGACTTGACCAACTTCAGTAATCTTCGTCCGATCTCTAATCTGCCCTTTATTTCCAAAGTTCTTGAAAAAGTCGTTGCTAGTCAACTTCACTCTCACCTATCCAAAAATAACATTTATGAAGAGTTTCAATGTGGTTTTCGCCCCCACCATAGCACCGAAACAGCTCTAATAAAAATAACTAATGACCTTCTTCTTGCTGCTGACTCTGCTCTTCTGTCTATCCTCATTTTACTGGATCTAAGTTCTGCCTTCGACACAATCTGTCATTCTATCTTCCTCAACAGACTAATCTCCATTGGCATCTCAGGTACTCCGTTAGACTGGTTCAAATCTTATCTCTCTGACCGCACTCAATTCATTCAGCTTAAATCCTTTCGTTCCCATTCTTCCCCCGTCTCCACGGGTGTCCCCCAAGGCTCTGTCCTCGGAGCCCTCCTCTTCATCATTTACCTCCTTCCTCTAGGTCACATCTTCCGTAAATTTGGTGTCCATTTTCACTGTTATGCTGATGACACACAGCTCTACTTGTCAACAAAACCAAACTCCACCCAGCCACCCTCCATCCTCACCGACTGTCTCAATGAGCTAAATCACTGGTTTTCTAACAATTTCCTACAACTAAACAGTAACAAAACAGAAATCATTCTTGTCGGTACCAAAAACTCTATTTCAAAATCAGAACATCTTCTCATCCCCTTTAACATCTCCCTGCTATCCCCCTCGCCTCAGGTCAAGAGTCTTGGTGTCATCCTCGACACCACTCTCTCCTTCACTTCACACATCAACAGTCACTCGGTCTGCCTATTTCCATCTCCGAAATATTAACCTTCTCCGCCCTTCTCTCACACCCCGCTCCACAGTCATCCTTGTTCACAGTCTTGTGACTTCTCGGATTGACTACTGCAACTCCCTTCTTTATGGCCTCCCCAACAAATCTCTCCAGAACCTGCAATTGGTCCAGAACTCAGCTGCCCGTGTCATCACTCAAACCTCCTCCTATAACCACATCACTCCAGTCCTGCAGCAGCTCCACTGGATCCCAGTTAAATCAAATCTTCAAAATTCTTCTTCTCACTTTCAAAGCTATCCACAACTTTTCCCCTCCGTACCTATCTGACCTCCTACACATCTCCATCCCCTCTCGCTCTCTCAGATCCTCCTCTTCACTACACCTCCATGTACCCTCTGCCCGCTTCTTCACCATGGGGAGCAGGGCCTTCACCTGCTCTGCCCCTCATCTCTGGAACTCTCTACCCCCTGACTTACGAGACACCACCTCTCTTTCTCTATTCAAGACTGCTCTGAAAACACATCTCTTTAGACTCACTTATCCTTAACTTTGCTGTATGTATTTTATATTCTTTATGTATTTTATATTCTGTATGTATTTTATATTCTTTATGTATTTTATACTTCAATTTATTCCTGTCGTTCTTTGCAATGTGCTTGTTGTTTGTTTTAACACAATCTTTCTGATATGTTTCTTACTGTAAAGTGTCCTTGGGTGTCCTGAAAGGTGCTTTTTAAATAAAATTATTATTATTATATTATTATTATTATTATTATTATTATTATTATTATTACTACGTCCTTCTCAGCTCGAATGAGTTTCATGGGTTCACCTTCATGTTGGCCCATCACCTGCAGGAGGGGCCATGTGCATGGTGCCAGCATAATGAAGGCCTTGGCACTCTGACCCTGGCTTACCATAGAGGGCTTTTTTATCTAATTTATTTTATTCAATCAGGATATAGTTCTTTCTTTTCAATGCTTAATGATAAGCTTTTTGGCATACTGAAGGTTTTTGGTACAAACTAACTCACATCACAGAAATATCAGTGCAAATGCAAAGCGGCTGGAGGTATATTTTCACTCCTAAAAGTGTCCATTGTGATTTTTTTTTTGTCTATTCCAGAGACACGCTGTGTTTTCTGTGAGAGAGTTTTCAAACTACCACTCCAGATTCTGAAAATCGTAGCTATAAAAATAAACAGAATTGAATTAAACTTAATTCATATAAATTTATCATTTGCATTTACAATCAAGTTCTTCCCAAATACTAAATCCTGGAAACAACACATAAGCTTTATGATGGTGATTTATTTTATTTTATTTTAATTATGGTACTTTTTGATTGCTAAAAACTTTTATAAAAACACACCGGCGACCCCCGTGACCCAAAATGGAATAAGCGGGTAAAGATAATGGATGGATGGATGGATATTTTTCATCCTCATGCAGCCTGTAAAACTAAATTTTAACATGTGGGTTCTTAAGCAACTATGATTTAATGTTTAAGTGTAAAACAAACAAACAAACAAAAAACCAATGACTTTAATATTTAATTAATGTATTATGCATAAGTATATTTTTAGTGGGAAAGCAATTTCTTTGTGTTTATTTATTAAAATATTTGTATAAGATGCACTTAAAGGGGTGCCAAAAATTATGCCCAGGACAGCAGACTTGCCACTAGTGCAATAATAATAATAATAATAATAATAATAATAATAATAATAATAACCATCATGACAATAAAGAAGTTTGATCTTGCCTGTTGAGGAGGCTCCAGTTTCTAAGTTTCTCCTCTCTGGAGTTGAAAGGAACCGTCAGGCTGCTGAGGTCAACAAACTTTGGGAAAAAATGTTTAATGACCTCAGCAACCAACACTGCAGAGAAACCAACAGGAAAACAGTCAGTTCACTAGTTAATACAAACACAAACTGACTTTCATTATTTAAAAAAATAGCTAAAAAAAAAAACACAAATATAAATTGGACTGTCGCTGATAGACTACAGTTCATTCGTTTGCAGAAGTGCTACCTCCGTCGCTGAAGTCTCTCCTCAACTTTCGTTTGGGTCTAGAAAACGGTATCTTGTCCAGCCATAAGAGTAAATGTTCAATTTCAGAATCCTGTAGCTTCTGATCCATTTTTGCCCCTTAAGGCAACCACTGTTTATGAAGTTGAGAAACGATGCTAACAGCTAGCTTCTTTAGCCCCGCTGCTCTGTTTGAGGCGTTGCTAGGCAGGCGTTGCTAGGCAACCGCCGCAGCGGCATTGCTCTAATAACTTTTGGATAAACAAAAATAAAGAAACATAAGACCCCAAATTTATTGTGACGATCCCTTTTATTGTGAGAGGAACTTTAAAAAAATCACGACTTAAAATCTTTCCATTGTTATAACAATTGTAGATAAAACATATTTTGGAACTGCAATTAAAATGCATGAAGTACCTGTAACAACCACAAAACAATTAGAAAAAGAACTATTTATTTTAAAAAATGTATAAAGTGTCCTAGTTTTGGCTGTGAACAGATTTTTTTAATAACACAGATGAGTTGTTAAAAAAAATAAACGACAAGAAAAAACAAAATTATCAATAAAAGATACAAAAGCGCAATACAAAATGGATGCATAATGTAAGGAATCCACAGTTCATAAACCAATTATTAAAAGACACTAAAGTGACCTGTTTAAGACACAAAACAATAATTTCAAGTGTGAAAAATACACCAAAACAAGAAATCAATTACGGAAACATAAATCTAAACTAAACAAAAATGAGTAAAACCCATGTAAAACATCTGAGAATACAATGCAATCTAAAATTACTCCTTATTAGGACATTAGATCTTTTAGGCACCAATATGCATGAAACAAAGGGTTTAAAGTCTGTCTAATTAAGGAGTAGCAGTTTAAAATCCCTTTTTGTTATCTATTTAAAAAGGCAGTACCAGAACAATGTACAAAAATAGGATTTATTAGCATTATAGCTCGAGACGGTTTTATGCTTTTTAGCATGGCGGTTTTCAGTTTTCATTAGATTTGGATCTTGTTAAACCAAACAAAACAGAAGCAAAAAAAAAATAAAACATAACTGTTTATACATTTCCCTGAATATACAATCATCTAAATGCCCAGGTTAAGAACTTACCCTGGTTTAGAAATTATAATAAAATATTCAATAAATAACCAGGAGATTTCAAAATATCCAGTCAAACCATGGAAAAGTGTGCTCATGTAAACAAAGGCATGTTTAGTGCAGTTGGCAAATTAGGCATCTCTTTAAAAAAAAAAAAAAACAATATTCAAACTAAATTTCAAATGCACAAAATTTAGCATAGCAGCAGAACTATTTGTCATTCATGAAGCGCTCAAAGTGAGTTTGTTGACCAGATTGCTATCAACACACTGGAGGCAGGACGCAGACGGTGGTACCACAAGAACGTTACTTCATTTCACTGATCCCTCGGTGGATCTTGTTTCGCGTCTACTGAGAGGATCTTTTTGGTCCTTCAAAGTGGGACAACAAAAAACTGTTTCCCCTGTTAGAAAATCTCAATCTGTAAACCAGGGTGAGTTAATCCCACTGTCATCTTGGCCTGCTGGAGGGCACCAGGGCAGCTCTCACTCCGAGCTAGAAACACAAATAAACTCTGTTAATACTCTTTGAAACAACTTCAGTATTTTATTTCATTGTGTCAGAGTCTCAGTAAGCCAGGAGTTTATGTGCCTATTAAGTCCCCAACCACTGTTTATCCATTACACTGCTGTTGAGACAAAGCCAAAAGCCACAGGTTTCTGTAAAAACGTGAATGTCTTTAATAGCATGAAAAAAATGTCTGGATGCCTATTGCAGCAATGTCAGTGGTTGGAAAGTCTGGCTGATTCTGTCTGCTGTCTGAAAACATACCAGCTGCGTATGTGGCAGTGAAGATGGGACTGTGGAGGGCTTCTTTGGAGGCGTCGGAGGCTTCGGCTTCTGTGAAACAGAATGTTCATAAGTTAGCCACACAGCAAATGCAAACACAGCCAATGTGTGAAGGCAAAAATGAGATTTAAGCTGCTTTAATGCCACTTACTGGTTTGGATGTAAGTGGTGGCAGTGGTCTGGTGGGAGGTAGTGGTTTAGTCTGTAATGATAAGATGAAATTTTAGACTAAACTGCAGTATCTGTAAAAAAAAATGTCAATATGAATGCTGAATGAAGCTAAAACTGAATTGTTAAAGTTAAAACATGCAGAACAGAGTTGAAACGAGTGGAATGGTAGCTAAAAGCTAAAAGAAGAAAAACAGTAGCTTAAAGCTAAAATTAGTAGAACTGTGGGTAATAGCTAACAGTAGCAAAATATTAACTAAAAGCTAAAGGGACACAATGGTAGCTAGAAGTTAAAAGTAATTAAAAAGTTAAAAGTAACAAAGCAGTAGCTAAAAACTAAAAGGTGCAGAAGTATAGCTAAAAGTTAAATGTAACAGTTGCTAAAAGCTGATATAGCAAAACTGTAACTAAAAGCCAAAAGAAATAGAATGGCAGCTACAAACGAAAAGAAGCAAAACAATAGGTAAATGCTAAATGTGGTAAAACATGGTTAAAAGCTAAAATTAGCAAAGGCTTGTTAAAGAAGCAGAAAAGCAGCTGAAAGCTAAATGATGTAGAACTGTAGTTAAAAGCTTAACATAGTAAAAAGGTAGCTAAAAGTAGAAAAACAGTGGCTAGTAGTAGAACTGTGGGTAAAAGCTAAAAGTAGCAAAATAGTAACTAAAAGAAGCACACTGGTATACAAGCTAAAAGTAACAAAGCAGTAGCTAAAAGCTAAAAAATAAGTGCAGAAGCTAAAAGCTAAATGTAACAAAGCAGTTGCTAAAAGTAGCAAAACTGTAGCTAAAAGCTGAAAAAAAAAATAGAATGGCAGCTACAAACAAAAAGTAGCAAAACAATAGGTAAAAGCTAAATGTGGTAAAAAGCTAAAATTAGCAAAGGCTTGTTAAAGGAGCAGAAGAGCAGCTAAAAGCTAAAAGTAATAAAAAGGTAGCTAAACAGCAGAACCATCGCTAAAACTTAAATGTAACACAAGAAGGCAAAAATACTAGAACAGGTTGCTAAAGCAGATTAAAAAAAAAAATAAAGTTTTGAGGAAACAAAGAGATCTCAGAGTGTTTCTATGGAGAGTTTTATTTAAATGTTAAAAGTTAAATGTTTTTAAAAGTACAAAAGTTCCAAAAGCAGAAGTCATACTCCCTATTGAGCTGAATGTTTTGATAATCAAAGGTTTAAAATAGCACAAAGTTGTATGAATTCAAGAAACTTACAGAAGAAACTATAAACAGGAAACCAATAATAAGAACGCTAACTCAGCATTCCCACACACACCGGATGTTCTTGAGCTCAAATTAAGACGTTAACAGATATTTTACCTCACTATATACTGGAAGACTGGAAACAGCTGGTGGCTGCATTAATATCCTCGCAACCTTAAAAACAAGAAACAAACCAACAATATTTTTTTTGTGTGTTTGTAACATACAATATGCAAAAATAAAAACATAAAAGTCAAATCAGGAACTCAACATACCTGGTGAACCTTAGATGACTGAGATGTATCTGGAGCTTTCCTGGGAGGCTTTAACGAGAGAAAATAGAAACCTTACTTTGCAGCCTGATCTCAATAAAGGTTTGTTTGTGACTAATTGCACATTAGTTGTCAGCATGTGACTCAGTGACAGTCCAGCAGGCACATGTTGGCTGCGTCTGCAGCTTCAAATTCAAACCAGTTGCCACAAATGGAAATTGCATGTCTAATATAGAGGTGATAATATAAAAATCTAACACATGCAGTGTCGGTGTACGATTACATTCCGGTGTTAAGTCTGTCAGACTGAATGGGAGGCTCACCTCTGGAGCTGCTCTGCAGGGCCTTCGAGCTCCGGTCTGTGGTTTGACAGCAGCAGGGCTCAGAGGTTTGTAGACTTGACTGGCAGAAGACTCCAACAACGTAGGCGGGCTGATGTGCGCCGGCCCGAGACGAGGACTGCCTCGGGGAAAGCTCGACTGAAACACTGGGTTTGATTGTCCTGAGGCCGCTGAGAGGAACCTGTAAAAAGACAAACGCACGCAGGAGCTCAAGTTTAAGCTGAAATCGATGGCTTTATGTAAGTTGTTTGACAAAAATGAAATAAACGGAGCAGATATTTTCTGCACCTTTTTGTGGGTGGCCTTTTTCTGATGCAGCACATCAGACTCCCTATAACCAGGGCGAGCAGAAAAAGCAAACCAACCACCACGGATACAGCAAGAACAACCAGGCTCGACTCTACACACACAAACACACAACAGATAAGGTCAGTGCTCTTTTCTCATTGAAGGAGGACAACAACATACATCAGCGGCTCGGGAAATAAAATTTACTGTATTATTGCATTTGCACAGCCTAATAAGGAAGTAAATTCAATAAGTGTTTGTTTTTGCTCATCAGGAAACTCGTGCTTACGTCAGTATTAAAATAATCACGGATTTAACGAGGCACTTACATAGATACTATCCGTGGGTGAATGGGCATACAGTATAAGGAAAGAGTACCGTAATTTCTGGACTACTGAGTGCACCCGAATATAAGCCACGCCCACAAAATAAATTTAAAATTTCAATTTTGTACATATGTAGGCCGCGTTTGTCTGTAAGCCGCGGATGTCCATGTTGTAACTGTAGATATTTACACAAAGATTAATGGGTTTTTTTTATTAAGTACTGGTAACATACACAAATACGTGCAGTAAAAGTTTTTTCTGAACAGTGCCTGTAACGACGCTGGTTAAAAATAAATAAATATAGTAGCCTACCAGGAAACGCCTAGCTAACGTGCATCAACTCTGTTTCCTTCTTCGACAGCCAGATCGATTGCCTTTAACTTGAAAGCTGCATTTTTTTATTGTGTTTTCCATGACGACTGTGTTCATGAAGTGCAAAATAACTGACCTGAAGAATTTAGTGAGAGTGCGTTTCACTTACGGTAATTCGAAGTTTCATCGGTCCACTGTGACCTGTTCGGTAATTTCATTGATCCAATTTTATTTTTGACCTTTATTTATACAGGTCGTCTCACTAGCTACGCTTACATACGCAGAATTCTTCGACCGGATTGAACTATTTTCAGATTAAATAATTCAAATGTATCGTTTACATGGGCACAATCCGTTCACGACGAGCGTTTACATGCTGCGGGCTTTTGTTCTGAATAGAAGTACTGACATGTGTAGAGTGGTAAACTCTACTTTAAAAAAAAAAAAAAACACAGAAGAAGAAGTTCTACTTCCGTTTTACTTCCGGAATGAACGTAAACAAACCTGAGCGCCCAAAATGGACCCGCGCCAGTTTTTATTGACGATGGAGACGTTACTGCACTCCCTAACTGAGCTACACGTGATATAGATCATTTTGAGCTCTTTCAAAATTTCTAGTAGAAATTGTGTCGCTCACCGACCAGTTGTACTTTCTCGACATGCTAATGTTATTAGCATTAGCCAGGTGGAAATACGTGAAGTAGACATTCAGTAGGTCGCACATGCGCAGTCAGGTCAGTTTTCCACAATCGGGAAAAAAAAGAACGGATTAAGTGTTTACATGCACACCGTCCGGATTATGAATCGGCACAAACCCCCCCGTCTCATTCTGATTACAGATTCTTTCGGATCGAGCTGAATCAGCAAGAAATAATCCAAATGGGGCGTTTCTATTACACATTTTTATTCTGAATGGCTGTTTAATCTGATTACTTATGTCCATGTAAACTTAATGAGTCATGAGGACCCACCCCTAAAGAGAGACGTGCATTAGGCCGCTATGTGAGCGCCCGGGTGTGACGAAGCTAAATGTTTCAGTGGCAGGAAGCTCGTTAGCCCGTCAAAAAAAAAATCTACAAATTAGCCGCTGCATTACATAAATCAAATCTTGTGAAAAAAGTAGCGGCTTATAGTCCAGTAATTACGGTATTATAATTAAAGCAATACCTTCTGTCAGCTCTGACAGCTTCACGTCACAAAACGGAGGAGCCCAGCCAGGATCGCAGTGGCACGTACTCTCATGGTTGCACACCTGTCAAAAGATCTCACGGTTAGCTGAGTTGCCTCTGCAGCGTGTTGTCTTGATGAGACCGTTAAGACTTTCGCACAGCTTCTCACCCCGTGGTTGTTACACTTGGACGAGCAGTCGTTTGTTCCGTACGATTTTATGTTTTTGATGTCTTCACATTTTTTATTGTAGCACACCTGACAGACAGAGACAATGCAAAGACCGTGAAGCTCCATAAAGCACGGCAACTTTATTTATGCTAAGCGTAAAAAGCACGTTCACTGACCATGTTGTCGCCACACTTGGTGCCAGTAGGCACCATCCCGAGATCCGACGGGTAGTTGTCCTCAGGGTTCATGGCTGCCTCGTTGCATATGACTCCATTTCCTACTTTATAAAAGGACTTTTTGTTCGTCACTGGAAACTCCCTTCCTCCAGAGCAGAAGAGCTTTCCACAAGATTGATCTCTGAAACCAAATTTTACACATTTCAGCAATGCCTCGAGTTTTGAATACGCTATTATTAGCCGTGCTGTGGCGTCTAATTGCATACCGGTTGGAGCACGTCTGGGTTAACCTCTTCCTGCACCCTCCATACAGATAAAAGCAATCCTCTGCAGCTACTTCAGCGTCTAATCACAAAAGATTGAATCATAAATCTTCATGTTTCAGAATGAACATAAACCAAACCACTCATGACTATTTCACCTGGTCCCCAAAGCCTCTTGCAGTGATCTTGTCGTGACGGACATTGCCCGTTGTAGCAGTAGCCTTTTCCATAGTCGCACGGCAGGCCGTTTTGGGTGAAGGTGTTAGCAGGACATGCTGCAGAGAGGCCAGTGCAGTATTCTGCCAGGTCGCAGTCTCCGGATTTTGGTCGGCAGATGCTGCCTGTTGGTTTCAGCTGAAGTGTGGTGACAAACAGATGGTGATGTACCGACTACTGAAATACATCCACTCACACTAAAGCAGCCAGACAGAACCGCCATTCTGTGACTACACTCACATTTTTAGTATCAGTCTGGCTTTTCTCACAGTGAGTAGTAGACGTTGTGAGTAGTACTTACTTGGCAGTTGTGGCAGCACTCTCCTTCTGCACACTGAACTCCCACATTCAGCTTGCAAGTGGTGGCGTTGCAGCAGGGATTCTTGCATTCCTATGAAACAGGACATCAAATTAATTGTCTTTGTTGGCTTGTGGCAAATGCACTCCCTTTTTTTAGTGTTGTGTGCACCAACCTCCACAGTCCCACAGTCACACTCTTCTCCAGGCTCTAAGAAGGCATTTCCACAAACTGCTCCACCGTAGATGCGTTCAGTGGAGGGAGTATCCAGCAGGCAGGCAGGGTTGACCTCCTCCAAGAAGGTGCTGAGCTGCTGCAGACTGCAACTGCTGAACTGCTTGGGAAACACGAAGCTAGAGGAAGACGCAACAAAACAAAGAGATAATAAAGAAAGCACGATCTCACATGAAAGCCTAAGAGTAGATATGGTGTGGTTAACTGAGCTTACCCAACACTCTCGGCCATGATGCAGCCTTTTTTGAATGCAAAAGATCCACAGATACATTCTTCAGTATCGTGGACCAGGCCCAAATTGTGACCCATTTCATGTGCTATGGTGGAGGCCACTCCAATTGAGTTGGTGTTATGGTCCTGTGCACAAAAAATATAGGTTCAGTTGAAACTTATATCCCATAATTCCATTGTGCTACGTTTTGTTTTCCCAAAAGTACCTCATTGATAGCTCCGGAGCTTGAGGTGCACATTGCTTTGGTGTTTGCCAATCCAACAGTAGAGCCAACGAAATCAACTCCTCTGAAAAACGATGATGAAGAAGAAGAAGAAGAAGGTTTAGTTGTCTTAAACTACCAGCCTGTTTGTCTATGGCAGGTGTCTGCAACCTTTATGTTCAAAAGAGCCATTTTTATGCCTTCATTCACTAAATTAAACGTGTCCAGAGCCGCAACAACCTGCTACAACTGTGATTATCAACTGGTGGCCCATGGGCCACTTTATATTTGTTGGAGGAGACTTTGTGGCCACTAGGGTGACATTGTAAAGCTAAAAATATCTAATGATTTTTAACATATATTGATATTTTTAAGACGAATGAAAAGACTAGATTATTGTAAAGAGGGGGAAAATAGTTGTTTAAATTAGGGATGCACAATATTATCGGCATGGCCGGCTGATATTAGCGGTAAAGTTAAATATCAAACATCGGCCATTCCATCAAAATAACTCACCAATATAAAAGGTGCTGTTTTAAGTTAATTTTTTATTTAAGAAACTGTCAAGTATATCTATTAATGCATTACCACTTATGTGCTTTTCACTTGTCGCTTGTGAACAGGTTGAGTTTAGATTTGTGAAAATGTACATATTTGCACTGTTTGCGTGTTGCCATTGTGTTAGAGAGAGTAAATGTCATGAATACATTTGACATTAAACATTATCCAAGTTGAAGTGTTACATCATTTTCAGCCCTTTTTTGGCATCTGGTATCAAACCAAATTGACAAAGACCATGCAGAATAGTGTAGTATTTTAATTTCACAGCAGAGAAAGCTATGTGGTCTCTGTACGTAGGTCTAGGAATAAACATCTGTATCGGTTATCGGTTATTGGCCAAATAAGTTTTAGCATATTGGCATATCGGAAATCGGACAAAAATTCAATATTGTGCATCCGTAGTTTAAATAAAAGAACCTATGAACTATGCAGACCCATGTGATTTTTTTTTTTTTATTGTGGAAAAATACATAAGTATAGGAATAAAGCAAAAAGTTAAAGTGAGTATTTGCAAAAGAACTAACAGGAAAACGGCTAAAACAAGTACTTATTTTGTTGCCTACATAACAACCAACAAAATTCTGTTTTATGTTAGTTTTGGTCAAGGCTTGAAAGGGCCGCTGCAGAGGAACCAAGGAGCCGCATGTGGCTCCTGAGCCGCAGGTTGCAGACCCCTGGTTTAGTGGAACATTAAAACAGTAGCAACTTACGTGATGAACTGAGCGTTGTCATGTTTGCTCCTCGGCAGCAGGCGCTGCTTACGCCACTCGATAAAGCGAACAAGAGTGAGGTCGGGGTCTGTGCTGACCTCGATCTGATCGCTCTGCGTCCAGATTTCCAGTCCGACCAGCATCACGCGAACACCCACATGGCGGTACAACTGAAATAATAGAGCTCATTAGCACCAGCAGAAATAGCTCCGAATCAGTATTTCTGAATGTGACTGTGTAAAACCCACAATCCCACGTCTCAAAGAAGTGACAGCAAGGAACTGTTGGGTCTACTGTTCTTTTTATATGTCCTAATCCCAAAGAATACAAAGATGATTGCAGGAAATGTGTGATTTTTTTCAGCTTGGGTGTGAAGACTCGCAGTTAAAGCTAGCATACACAGTGAGAGAACTTTTCCTTCCATTTTTTTATGTTTCTGGAATGATTCCAATCAGAAAAGGACAAAAAAATCAGGACATGCAGTATTTCCTGAATGTTCTCCAGCGTGAAAGTCAGATAATGTTCAGCAGAAGAAAAAAAAGCACTGGCAGCTTTGACTTACTTTATCTGTTTGCAAAGAAACAAGCGTACCTTATCCACATGGTTTGCTATCTCAAGCATTCTGGTCTCGACTGTCTTCTTACTGCCAAGCTTTTTATACTACAATGAGATTATTTAAATTAGTATCACAACCAGCAGCATCGTGTATGCAAAACACTCACTCTTCCATCAATATTTTTTTTTTTATTATTATTTTTGGCTACAACCACAGAATCAATGAGAGGAAGAAGAGCAGGGAATCAAACCTCAGTGTTGTCTACTACCAAAACCAGCTCCACTGTTCTGGGTTTGTCTTTAAGGTCTTTGGTCTGGGCTCTGCTTTTCTGAGAAACACAGAAAATGTCAATTAATAAAATCTAGAGAAATTAGAGTTTCTGTGAAAATGCAGTATGAATGCCTTTTTCAGAAGAACTTGCTGAAAAACAGCTGAAATTGGCTAAAAACGTGCTGAAGTGTAGCTGAAATGGAAGAACAAGCCTATTAGAAGAAGAACGCAGGAAGAACACATATTTGCTGAATTAGATTTAAATAAGCAGAAATGAGCACAAAAAAGGAAATTAGCAAAAATAGCTGAAAATTAGCTGAAAAGGCAGAAGAAGCACAAAAATGTTGTAGTTAGCATAAAGAACCTGAAAGGATCACAAAACAGCCGAGAAAACAGCTGAAACTAGCTGAAAAAAGTTTAACTTGTCACAATGAAGCTGAAAGAAGCTGAACCGGAACAAAATGTGGAAGGAGCAGTAAAAGGTTGTAAACAGATCTAAAGATTTGAAGGATGTAAAATGAGCTCAATTCATTTTATGAGGAAAAAATGGCCGAAAACACTAAAAATGTCAAACAGCTAAAGTTGCACCAAAACCAAAAGCCATACAGCAGGATTGTCCTGAAAGAGCTGAACGTTTTCATACATGGTTTGTTGAAATTGCACAAAAATTGTGGAACGAGAAAGCTGCAGAAAAATGTGCGGAAGAAACATTCACACAATAACAATCATCACATGCTTATCGTGCGATGCAACTTGTACTTAAACTGCACGGTGATAACTTAAGATTATTGAACTATTTTACTGCGCATCACTTTCAGTGTTTTGTTTTTGTGCGTGTTTGGCAAATGTTCTATTCGTCTATCAATCCAAGTGTTTTATGAATGTGTCCACGCTGTGTCTTTACCAGACTGCCAAGCTGGAATAGTCCAGACGGACGAGCTCCGTGATCATAGAACGTGCTTGTGTTTCCATGGGAACAGGAGCTCCTCTTCCTCCTCAGGTGTTTGTAGTTGTAAACAGCATGAGGACGGTCATCACTGTGGGCCTCAGAGCTCTGTCCGTCATCTCGCCGTCCCGTCTCCTCACCTGGCAGAGGTTCGATGAGGTACATCTCATCTTGGAGGGTCACAAATCCTCTGTAGTGCAGAAGTTTAAATATATTTTACTTTCTTTCCTGGTGATAAGAACTGGGTGACAGGGATTGTGTTTTAGACTTTAAATCTTATACGGGTCTTTTGTCTTAACACACTATGAGGACCATAAAGTCATAAAGCGTTTTAGTAAAAGCTTTAAAAAGGAGGGGAATCACAGCAAACTGACTCACTTAATTCCTGAGCACAATTCAATGCTGGCAGAGGAGTCCTCCACCCCCACGACGTGTCCATGGTAGTAGCAGTGAACCTGAAAAGTATTCATTTTTTAAATAATGTATTTGGTTGATGTTTGATAGTTTGATAGTTTTGACCTTATAAGTCAATTCCCCTGGAAAATTGCTTTAAAATGAGGAACTTTATGGTTGAGAAACTACGTGCTATCTGATTTTTTGTAACATCATTACAGCGATGACAAAATGCAAATTACATCACTCCGTGCAACAACGAGTGAGGCCAAAATGTTAAGATTGAGCCTTGGTGAATAATATACATGCATACAACCTATTTTTCTTTAATGTTTACGAGCTTGGTTTTATATTTGGTGCCAGGACGTGTCCAAAACCACAAGACGGTGACCACACAAATTGAAATTATTAGCTCTGTTTGTCAAATATTAACCAGTTTTATACGAATCAGACAATTTTTCAACATAAAAACATAAATAAAAGAAGAATAAGTTACAAACCGAATAATCTGGAGTAGCTGTCAATTGGGTACCCTGATCAGAATAGTATGTCACAGTAAACTTATTTCCAACAAGATCCCTGAAAAAGACAAATATCACAGTTAAAGACAGTTTTAACCAAAGCTGTACTTAAAATAAGACTCAGACAAATTTCTCACTTGTTCTTTTCCAGATGCAGAGTGTAGTTTTTCCCTGCAATACTCACAGAGTATTGGACTACATCAGGGTATTTCTGTGCAGAAGACCAGCAGATATTTTAACACATGCTTCAAAAGTCAAAACGCAAACTGGAACATGATGCGAGCACGTGTGTGTGTGTGTGTGTGTTTTACCTTATATACAGCAGCATCCTTCACATGAGACCAGTCCATCAGCCTCTGAGGTATGGCTTTTTGGTACTTTATTACATGAGGCAGATCACACACAGTTATACCTGCAAGCATGAAGGATGGTTAAAATAATGAAAGAACAAAAGAAAGAAAGAAGAAAGAAAGAAAGACTTACCCCACAAGGAGAAGAAAATCCATATAAAACATCCTGTGTGTGTCATGTTGCTCAGCCGGACCGACTCTGTCACTACGAGCTGTAAAGCCTCAGAGGAAATCTCTTCAGCTCTCCGCCCATCTGCTGTGTAATATCCTGAAAATCTGCATCTGAGGCAGAACATCCTGGCCAGCTCTTGTAAATGACAAGACTCAAAACTGAGCAACGTGCCAAGTGAGCAAAATTACGTCACAGGGATGATCAAATGATCAAATGAAACCCCACCACAGTTTAGAAGTTATTTATTTATTTTTTAAAAAGTAATGAATGACCATCATTATAATAAATGTTTAACTTTAGTGTCTGGTTCTGACAAGAAAGTTTAAATGTCCTCAATTTGAACGTTTTTGTTGTGTGTGTCGCCACCTAGCGGTGAAAAGGCAAAGTTTCTTCATTTATAAAACTTTCTTAAAACTATTTTATTCAGTTCAATTCAGTTTATTAATAGCACCCAGTCACAACAGAAGTCATATCAGAACAGAAACATTTATAAGTAAAAATTACAAATAAACAGAATATAAAAATAAAAAGTTACCAGAAACATTCATATATAAAAATAATAATTTAGCATTATTTATCTGAGGAGCAGACTGCTTTGAATTATTATTGAATTTATTGGGAACTACTCTGCTAATTATTTGTCCACAATTTTGTAAAAATATGTAAACGTAAAATAAATAGTAATAGGCCAACTTAATACAGTTTCTTCACTTGTTTATTGTCTGTTGGGTACTAATAATATTTTTAACCATTTCAAATTTAATTGGATTTTGGGCAGTTCATAGTAGAGCAAATTGAGCATTTATTAGTTCTGTATATTATTAGTTTTATTATTAGTTTTGTTTATTAGCAGTCAGACAATAAAGTGTCATTGGCTTGATGGGCTTTTTGTGTTGAGAAGTAAACATTTAATTTTAATTTGCTGAGAATTAGAAATTGTTACAGAATGTAACTGAAGTGTTTCCATTTTTGTTGCTTGTTTAACATTTGACAATCAAGTAAATAAATTATTAGTAAAAAAAAATTAAAGAACAAAATTGTATCTTTATGGGTTTTCCATGTCTTGTTTTGTTTTTTCTCTTATTGTTACTCGACTCTGAGCTGGTCGAAGCAAATGGGTTTTATCATATGCGTTCATGACGTCATAATCTCGCGTCAAATCTGTTCCCAGATGCTCAAATTTTGTCGCGTTGGTGGTATAGTGGTGAGCATAGCTGCCTTCCAAGCAGTTGACCCGGGTTCGATTCCCGGCCAACGCAAATCCTTTTTAATCGTTGTGATATAATTCAAGAAAAAAACTAACTCTCCTCCGCGACAGTCAGACATGAAACATTTTATGTCACTAAACAACATCTCTAAGTGTAAACGATGCTACAGCCAAATATGCAACACGTTGCAAGATAGAAACAGATGGAAACAGATGAAAACAGTCCGAAAGGAGCTGAAGTGATGCAACCGGAAGTGGAGAACCCTTACAGTTTAGAAAAAGTCATATTGTGCTTGAGTGTGTACTATCATAGATATCTTATAAAAGTGTTTATATCTGTGTACTATGGTCCGTCTTGTACAGAAATATATTTTTTCAGTACTCTGAAACGAACAGTTGACTTGTCATACTGGTTTGGCTACACAAGGAAAAAAATAAAAGGTGTTTCCCATGACCTGAAAAAAGTTAAATCTGGTCCTTTGGACATTAAGACCAAATTTTTTTTTTTCTTTTATTACAAAAAATTAGCAATTTTACAAACAACTGTCTGCCAGGGGTATATTAGCAGGTACAAAAGTATAGAAAGAACAATTTGGTTATAAAATGGTGCAAAGGGTAAAAAATTCTAAAGATACAACATAATATATTTACATGTTATACAGATAAATTCACATTAAGTTTTTCTAGAACTGAGTTGGTTTTCATTGCCTTTTTGTTTTCAAGTCCTTTAACAGCGCTGCTGTATATTTTAAAGTTCTGCTGAAGTGGGTCATGCTTGACTTGGAGTTTGACCACTTTTTCTTGTGAATGTGAAATTTTCCCAGGAGAAGTAGAAGTTGGGTGAAGTAGATCAAGTCTTTGTCCATATCCTTATTGTCGAATCATAATATAACGTCTTTCTCTGTAAGTTGAATTATTTGTCCAGTTTTCTGTTGAATGAGTTGTTGCACATCTGTCCAGAACGTCTTTGTGTGATTACATTGATAGAATAAATGAGAAATAGATTCCATGTGTAGTTCACAAACTGTACACGAGTAGTCCATATCAAGTTTAAATATTTCCAGTGTGTTTTTAATAGGGTATACATTATGATTGATTTTATATGAAAATTCTTTAACTTTATTTGTTATGCAAAATTTTTTCTCCATTCAACCAAACTTGTTTCCACTTAATTTCTCCAAAAGTAGAGAACCAAAAAAATCTACCAGGAGGTAAAGTAATCTTCTGCAGACATGATCTTATAAGTTTGTTGGAGCGTGTTTTTGCATTATGGGGCTTCTAAGTTGGTCTCTAGATGAATGATCAGGTTTGTTCCTTTGAAGAGTTGCATCATGGAGTTTGGTAGAGCATCAGAAATGACAGCATGCTCTTTACGTGTTACAGATGTGTTAAATCTGGTCAGAAATTCAATGTATGACAAAATGGTTCTGTTATCATTTAACAGCTGTTGGACAAGAATAATTCCATTATCCATCCAGTTTTTATAGTAAAGTGACTTATTCTTATACAGAATGTTCCCATTGTTTCTTATGTAGCATGAAGTTGGAGAGAAGTTGTGTTTGCAGGCAAGTTTCCAGGAGAGCCTGTTGGTGAAATTTTGATAACTTTATAGGTAACTTTTCAATTTTATAATCACATTTTAATAAGAATTGGAGTCCACCTACCTTATTAAAAATGTGGTTGGGGAAAGTGTTCCAAAGTGAATCTTTCCCTTTTAATAAGTTGGTTAACCATTTAATTTTAAAGGAGTTATTTAGCATTTCAAAAGTTAGGACATCTAATCCACCAGATGTTTTGTTATTACAGAGAACATCTTTTTTTAAGTAATGACATTTAACTTTTTGCAAACATCCTTTGGCATTTCTAAAGATAAGGAAGTAAACACAGATCTTGAGATTCCCTCAGCTTTTGACAGTAACACCCTTCCATTTAATGGCAGGTCTCTCATTAACCACATGTTAAATTTGTTTGTTCTATAATGGGACCAAAGTTTGAACTGCTACGCTAATTTAGATTTTTCTCAATAACCACTCCTAAGTATGTAAATTTCTCTTTAACAGGAATATTAGGACCAGATTTAACTTGCTTCAGGATGTTTCCCATGACGTTATCATCCCGCGTCAAATTCGTTTCCAGATGTTCATACTCTGAAGCGTTGGTGGTATAGTGGTGAGCATAGCTGCCTTCCAAGCAGTTGACCCGGGTTCGATTCCCGGCCAACGCAAATTCTTTTTGATCGTTGTAAAATCAAGAAAAAACTAACTCTCCTCCGCGACAGTCGAACGTCAGCTGTTTTGTGTCACTGAACAAGGTTTGTAAACGATGCTACAGTCAGACTTGACCCAACAGTCGGTCCCATCAGTTCTTCCTTATCCTCAAATGATGTCCCTTGACTCCTATAAATATTTGACCTAGTAAGGAAACTGAAAGTTAAACTGGGTTTCTTTTTCAGAAATAGATCCTGTCTAACTCTGAATGCTTTTGGAATTTCTAGGGACAAAATTTAAAATGGACACTGGGAATTGTGTTTTCTGTGAGACAGAGTGAGAACCTGGAACATCTTTTCTTGGATTGCATGATAGTTCAGCAATTTGGGCTTGATTTTAAAATGTGGATCCAATCCAAAGGGATTCAGCTACTCACTCCCACTTTAAAAGAAATCAAATTTGGGTTAATTAATAAGATTGGAAAGAATGAATATGCTATCAATAATTTGATTATATTAGCTAAACATTAAGTTCATACATGTCGCTTTTTCAAATGTAAACCACTGGAAGAATGAGCTAAAAGTCCTATGCAAAATCTTTAAAATATGTAAATGGAAAAAATGCTGGCAAATTTCTTAGTTTCTTGGTTAATTTCAATTGTTTTCATTCATTCAACCTTTATTTAGACAGGTAAATCCCATTGAGCCTCAAGGACTCATTTACAAGAGAGACCTGATTTCAACAAAAAATGATGACAACAATGGACAACAGCAACAACAATAAACAGTCACAAAAAGTCATACAGATTATTTTTTTTTTTTTTTACAAATAGGAATGCTAAAAACAGAAAAGTAACAAAAAACAGCTAGATTCTAAGGCGAATGTAGAAAACTAAAAACAGGAACATGTTTAATGTCCTGAGAGCGCACGCTGTAGCTGCACTCACGCAGAGACATGTAGGAGGAGATGTATGAAGGCAGCAGACCAAGAAGAAATTATTTAAAAATGAAAATGTACCAGTGAGAGAGTCTGCGTGAAGTTATTGATGACCAGTTAACCAGTGAATGCAGGGTGCAGTGGTGGGTACGATAATCAGAGCCAGTTATGACTCTTAATGCACCAATTTCCTCATATAATGCCTTTTTTTAATTTTTATTCTTCATTTCTTTTATTTCCATTATGTTATGAATCACCTTTTGTAACTTTCGATTGTAAGAATTGGTACATTTTGTTTTGTATTGTTATGGTTAAATAAAGTTTGGAAAAAAAAACAAACTCTGAATGCTTAACGCCTTGTACTGAGACCTTCCTTCCCTCCATTGACTACAGAGATATTATTTACATGAATGCTCCTACAAGCACCCTGCAGATGTTGAATGATGTCTATCACGGTGCACTAAGATTCAAATGTAACTACCGTACCCATCACTGCACCCTGTATTCACTGGTTAACTGGTCATCATTAACTTCACGCAGACTCTCACTGGTACATTTTCATCTTTAAATCACTTCTTGTTCTGCTGCCTTCATACATCTCCTCCTACATGTCTCTGCGTGAGTGCAGCTACAGCGTGCGCTCTCAGGACATTATTACCTGCAGTGTCCCCTCAGTGAGGACTGAACTTGTTAAAAGGGCCTTCTCCTACTCCGCTCCTGTTTCCTGGAATTTCTTGCAAAAAGATCTGAAGCTCTCCACCTTAACCTCTAAGTGGCTTCAAACATCTGTTAAGCTCCTGGCAAGAACCAATGCAGACATGTTCTTGTTTTTAGTTTTCTACGCTGCCTTATAATCTAGCTTCTTTTTTTTCGCTACTTTTTTCCTTTTGACTGTCCTTTTGGTTGCTATTTTATTTTAATTTGTAAAAAAAAATATATATATATATATAATTTATGACTGTTGTTGTTGCTATCCATTGTTGTCATTACTTTTTGTTAAAACCAGGTCTCAACCAGGTCTCTTGTAAATGAGTCCCGAGGATGAGTCCGAGAGGAGCTCAAGTGAAGCACCCGGAAGTGGAAAACCTTTCCGTTTCTATCTTATTACCCCGTGAAAAAGAAGAAAAAGTCATGTTGTGCTTGAGTGTGTAACTATGGTCCGTCTTGTGCATAAATATCTTTTTTCAGTATTCTAAAACGAACAGTTGTCATACTAGTTTGGCTACATAACGGGAAAAAGAAAACTTTTCCCCATGACGTCATCATCAGGCGTCAAATTCGTTCCCAGATGTGAATATCTTGTCGCGTTGGTGGTATAGTGGTGAGCATAGCTGCCTTCCAAGCAGTT